GGCCACGTCTACATCGCAGAGCGGGGAGGGGCTGGGAAGTGGGAAAGGGCATGCTACTCCTTGACAACGACTGCGCTCCGATATTTTGCCGCCGAGACCGCCGCGGCGTTCTCCAAAACAAACCCGGCGGTGGGGCCCGGGGTCGGAAATCACTCAACGACCCCTCCCAAGCCATACAACCCCTTAAACGATCAAGATGGAGGTTTCTCGCCATGCCATGCCCAGCCTCTGGAGGCCCTCACCGAATCCCCCGGGATCGTGAAAAAGCAGCTCAGGATTAGAAACCGACCTTGGGGGAAGGGTCTGGACTTCCAGGGGGCCCGTGCTGAAACGAAGCCAAGGCATCGGAGGCCTCGGTGGCAAAAACCACCCCCACACCGCGGTGGCCGAGGTGCGCAGCGGCGCGGCTGGATCAATGGCACGGGGCAGCATGGATGATAGCGCACGTCGCGCCTGTAGCGCGCCTCACTCCCACCGTCTCCCCTTGGGCGTCCGTCTGCTTATGGGTTTCCCGCGTGGCGGTCCTTCAACGTCTTGCACGTGGAGCGCGTGAGAAAAGCAAAATTGGACAAGTCGGCGAAGCCGGTCAGGTCCACCGTCATCTCCTAGGCGGATCCAAACATGAGAGATGGGGAAGACCAACAGAGGCGAAGAAGGGGAGAGGGAGAAGGAGGAAGAGAGGGCGGGGGAGGGGAAGGGGGAGGGGAAGAGAAGAAAGACAGTTGGATGAGCAGCGGCAGGAGAGGGTGACGGTGAGGAGGGAGAAGGAGGGGGGTGGGAGCGGATGACTATGAGCAGAGGGAAATAGTACGATGAGTGAAAGGAGGAGGAGTAGGAGAAGGAGGAGGAGGGAGGAGAGGAGAGGAGGGAGGAGGAGGATGGAGGAGGAGGGAGGAGGATGGAGGAGGAGGAGGAGGCGAAGAAGGGAAAGTAACTGTGGGGGGACGGAGAGGGAGGAGAAAAGAGGAAGAGGAGGGGGAGGAGAAGGAGGAGAAGGAGCAGGAGGCCAGACCGGAAGCAGAGGGGTTTGAAAGACCTGGGAGCCTTCTCGAGGGGAGGGCAGAGGGCAGGGTTTGAACGACCGGCGGCACAGCCGACGAGCCGAGCGACGGGGCTCGCTACGAAGGCAAAAGGGCGGAGAGGCAGGGAGGGAGGCCTGGAGTAAGGGAGAAGGGCGGAGGGAGGAGGCAGGAGGGAGGAAGGAGGAGGGAGGAGGGAGGAGGAGGGAGGAGGGAGGAGGGAGGAGGGAGGAGGGAAGAGGAAGAGGGAAGAGGAGAGAGGAAGACGAGAAAGGAGAGGGAGGAGGAGGAGGGAGGAGGGGGAGGGGAGGAGGGAGCAGGGAGGGAGGAAGGAGGAGAGGGAGGAGGGAGGAGGGAGGGAGGGAGGGAGGAGGAGGAGGAGGAGGGAGGAGGAGGAGAGGGAGGAGGAGGAGGAGGAGGAGGGAGGAGGAGGAGGAGGAGGAGAGGAGGAAGAGGAGAGGGGGAGGAGGAGGAGGAGGAGGAGAGGGGAGGAGGAGGGGAGGCGGAGGAGGGGGAGGAGGGAGAGGAGGAGGAGGAGGAGAGGAGGAGGGAGGAGGAGGAGAGGAGGAGGTGAGGACGAGGAGGAGGAGGAGGAGGCGGAGCTGGAGGAGGAGGAGGAAAGGGAGGCGGAGGCGGAGGAGGAGGAGGACGACGACGACGACGAGGAGGAGGAGGAGGAGGAAGCTGTATCTGACCTCATGACAAAGGCTGGCAGCTACGAGCTTCGAACTTCGAGGAGGAGGGGGAGCAACGAAGAGTTGCGAGGAGCAAGGAGCGAGGAGCAAGGCGGAGGAGGAGGAGGAGGAGGAGGAAGAGCATGGAGGAGCGAGGACAAGGACCTGGACGAGAACCAGGGAAGGGAGCGCGGGCAGGGAGTGGAAGCGAGCGAAAGAGGGGAGTGGGGCAATCTACGGCATGGGAAGGGGCGGGGAGAGATGGAGGGGAGAGATGTGCAGACGGGCGGAAGGAGGGGAAGATGCAAGGGATGGACGTAGGGACTGAGGGTGATCCTTCTGTTCATCCTCTTTCACGTCCTCCTCCTCCTCCTCCTCCTTCCCCTCCTCCTCCTTCTCCTCATCGGCATATTAGTATTGATACTCCTCGTCATCATCATCAGCAGCATCATCATCAGCGGCAGCATCAGAATCATCATCACCATCAGTATCATCAACATCATCATCAGCAGCATCAGCATCAGCATCAGCATCAGCATCAGCATCATCACCAGCAGTAGCATCAGCATCATCAGCATCATCGTCATCAGCATCATCATCATCAGCAGCAGCAGCATCATCATCAGCAACATCAGCATGAGCATGAGCAGTATCATCACCAGCATCGTCAGCATTATCAGCAGCATCGCCATCATCAGCATCACCATCATCATCATCATCATCATCATCATCAGCAGCAGCAGCAGCAGAATCATCATCAGCACAGTAGCAGCATAAGTACGATAATTAGCATCAGCATCCGAATCGTCATCATCATCGTCAGCATCAGCAGCATCATCAGCATCATCATCATCAGTGGCATCATCAGCAGCAGCAGCAGCATCCTCAGCATCTTCATCATCAGCAGCAGCAACAGCACCATCATGACCATCATCATCATCATCATCATCATCATCATCAGCAGCAGCAGCAGCATCAGCATCAGCATCAGCAGCAGCAGCAAGAGCAGCATCATCCTTATCCTGACCCTCATCCTCCGTCTACTGCTGGTCCCTCCAAAGACAAAAACCAATTAATCCTCGTCGAGCCAGAAGGTGTCGCGGGGGGAGGCTGCGGGGGGAACGGGGAAATGCGGAAAAGGTGAGGGGGCAAGAAAGGAGGGGTAAGAGGGGGAGGCATTGTCGCTGCGGCTTGGAGCTTACCTCCTGCCGCCCAACTGCTCACAGGGTCCACGGCCAGGGTTCTGGCAAAAGGTCGACCCAAACAGCGTGTTGCGTCTTCGTTCCGTTATCGTTCCGATGTGTGGTGCAGCGAAAACGGTCTGGCCGTTTACCCAGAAAGGCGTCGTGGCGCAAATCCGAAGTCGTGATTGGCAAATGACAATCCTTAAAGAAGAGCACGAAACGAGAACGTGTGAGGGGTGTGCCGAAGCAGAGGCATGCGGAAGGCAGAGGCAAGGGATGGGAGGAGGAGGGCGAGGAAGGAGGAAGGATGGGTTGGAAGGCCGGCGCTGCTGATTCGAAACGAGGGCCCAACTCAACACGGGATGGCTGGGAAAAGACGAACGAGAACGAGGAGAGAACGAGAACAGAACGAGGAGTTCTGGGCGCCGCCCTCGCAGTGGGCGCCCAGGTGGACGCGAGGGCCCCTCTTCGGCGGCTGCCCTGGAAGCAGAGGGCGCCCTCTGAGCACATCTAACGCGCATGGGGATGTGCGCAAGGCCTGTTCGGAAGTGGCGATGGGCAGACATGGAGACGAAGAGGGCTGGAGGCAGACACAGAAAGAGAGAGAGAGAGAGGGAAACCAAAACTTAGCCTGGCGAAGGACCAAGCCATATGCAGTCGTGAATACCGAAACTGTCAGCATCTTCTTCGGTGGAGCTCCCTATGGGCCACGAAACGTCTGAGGGGTGTGCCGACATGGGTGCGGCGGACGCATGTGGACGGTGGCACTGGGGCCTTCGGTGGAGCTCCCTATGGGGCCACGAAACGTGTAAGGGGGGTGCAGAAATCGGTGTGGGGGACGCATACGGGCGGTGGCACTGGAGCCTTCGGTGGAGCTCACCATAAGGCCACGAAACGTGTGAAGGGCGCGGGCATGTGTTTTCGAGGCCACCCCGCCACCCACCCCGCGACCGAACCCGCGACCCATCCGCGACCCAACCCGCGACCCATCCGCGACCCAACCCGCGACCCACCCGCGACCCACCCGCGACCCACCCCGCGACCCACCCCGCGACCCACCCGCGACCCACCCGCGACCCACCCGCGACCCACCCGCGACTTATCCACACTGGTTCGAAGAAAAGACTGGCGCCTGCGGTGGTATAACTTATGAAACTTTGGCGCATGCGGCGGGCTTCTCCAGAATCTCGCAGACTGTCGACGTCCCCACCGCCCCCACACTCTTATCCGCACCTGCGGGGTGCTACGTAAAATATTCGAAAAAACGCCCCCAAACGATTTTTCACTATTTCTGGATATTCCCCTGTAGAGAAACACTCCCGACTTAAGCCAAGGCCGCTGGCCAGGTCTGCATGTGAGGCTTCTAGTCGGACCTCTGGTGAGGGCAAAATGGATCGGGATCCGCTGCATGAGGAACCCGGGGCCTGGAGGCCGGCGGAGCCCCGAGCGGTGTCCGGCCATGGCCCTCACCGCCGCCCTCCTCCGTGAAGGAGCCCTCCCAGGGTCTGAAGCCTCTAGCTATCTTTTTGTTCAATCAACTTTTTACTAACAACCAAGAACCCTGGCTCGACACCACTTAATTATGGACAAAAACAAAAACGAAAACAAAAACAAAACAAAAACAAAAACAATGACAAAAGCAAAAGCAAAAACGAACTCAAGAACAAAAGCAAAAACAAAAACGAAAACAAATACAAAAACAAAGACAAAGACACATACAAATACAAAGACAAAGACAAAAACAAAAACCTTCCCTGCCGCACGCCACCGCCGTCCCTCCGTGGGGCGCCTGGCCGAGCCTGTCTGCGGAAGCCTCTCGAGGGCACCTCCCGGGGGCCTCCACGGGCCTCCGCTCGGGCCTCCGGAGGCCCAGGTCTCCGACGATCTGGTTGCACATAGGAGGAGGAGGAGGAGGAGGAGGAGGAGGAGGAGGAGGAGGAGGAGGAGGAGGGAGGAGGAGGAGGAGTAGGAGTAGGGAGGAGGAGGAGGAGGAGGAGGACCAGTGCAAACCCAAGAGTCGTCAACGATGTTGGAATTAACCCTCCCTCCAAGCTCCCTCTTCATAGGCCTCTACAACGGTTCATATCCATTGAGGGAACTACCTCGCTGGAATCACAACCGTTCAAAGATTCTGAAGCATGCCAAAACATTGTTCTCGGGATTTGACTGCTATCAATCTGACTGCTGCGTCCTACTGATCTGGAATCGTGCCAGGACGCCAATATTTTAGTTCAGCACCGCGAACCAGCATAAGTGTCGCACCCGCAGAATCCTGAATCCTTCAAAAAACACAGCTTCTGGTACGGTGATCATGGGGACCCTCGAAACTCTTACAAATTGTTGAAACGAATGTGCGCGGCGCTGAAGCGAGAGCCACATGTTGGAAAGGAACCGCCCTCAATCCGCGAAGCTCTTGCACATGTTGAAAACGAATGCGCGCGTCGCTAAGGCGAGAGCCACATTTTGAAAACCACCCGCCCTCAATCCGTGAAACTCTTGCAAATTTTGAAAACGAATGTGCGGGGCGCTCAGGCGAGAGCCACATTTTGAAAACCACCCGCCCTCCATATCTGAAACCGTGCGACAGGGAGAAATGATCGATAAGGAGAGCAGAAGGAGGAGGAGAGGAGGAGGAGGAGGAGGAGGAGGGGGAGGAGGAGGAGGAGGGGAGAGGAGGAAGGAGGAGGAGGAGAGGAGGAGAGAGAGGAGGAGGAGGAGGAGGAGGAGAGGAGGAGGAGGAGAAGGAGGAGGAGGAGAAGGAGGAGAGGAGGAGGAGGGAGACGAGAGGAGGGAGGAGGAGAAGAACGTGCTTTTCTTCAAGCTCGGCCTCCTGGGACCACCACAGGGGCTTGCGGCCCCAAGAATCTGCACCACCACACCTCCGCTACTCCTCCCCCCTACTCCTCCTCCTTCCTCCTCCTCCTCCTCCTTCTCCTCCCCTCCTTCTCCTCCTCCCCTCCTCCTCCTCCTCCTCCTCCTCCTTCCCCCTTCTCCTGCTCCTCCTCTCCTCCTCCTCCCTCCTCCTCCTCCTCCTCCTCCTCCTCCCTCCTCCTCCTGTCCTCTTCCTCCTCCCCTCCTCCTCCTCCTTCTCCTCCTCCTCCTCCTCCTCCTCCTCCTCCTCCTCATCATCATCATCCTCCCCCCTCGTCCCTCGTCTTCCTCTCCTCTCTCGCGGGAGCGAGGGGGGGGGGGGGCGAGGGAGGTGGTGGTGGCGTACATGTTCTGGCCCCGCGGATCTGGGGCGAAAGCCTGCGCCCGGGGAAGGGGTCGGGACCCCTTCGGCCTCCGGACAAAGCTGGAGACCTCCGGGAGGAGGAGCAGGTGGAGCGCACATGGGGGTACGGGGGAGGGGAGGGGAGTTCGGAAAGTGGAGGGGAAGAGGCGAAAGTCAGGGAGTGGGCATGAAGCTCAGACGCGGAACGCTGCGCGCCAGACGCTCAGCGGGCGAATCACGCATCCAAGTGGTCTGCTCCAAAGACACGGACTGTGCTGGCATGGGGGGGACAAACTGCTCGCCTGCCTACCACACGGCAGAGAGCGAGAGGCATGAGGCGAGATCGGACGAGTGACCTGTTTGGAGGAGGAAGGGGTGGATACTCTTAGACCTGTTGAGACGGCGCAGAAAACGAATCGAATGCGATACTCTCGTGCCTAGACACAACAGCCAGGAGGGAAGAACGGCAGAAACATTTGGAACTAATGCAGCTCGACGGAGGCACCAGCAAGTGAAAGTGTACCTACTGGTGCTACGGTTGGTGCCCCCGCTTCCTCCTTGACTTTCTCCTTCGCCAGCCTCTGGGGAAATGTGTAAGATGACGACGCCATAGCTGCAGCCGCAGCGCATCCCTCCCCTTCGGATTTCATCCGTCCTCCAGAAATCACCACCTGCTGCCTGATGTCTGTCTCCCTGCGCCTGCCTGTCAAGACAGAATCATTGCGTGGCCGCCGCCCTGCCGTGAAAGAATTCACCAACATCAGCTGAATAGCACTGGGTATCCACAGCCTCTGCAAAGCTCGAGTGCCTAGTGACTTTGCCCCGGCTCAGTTGAAAGAGAGCACACACGCATCAAACGCACAATGATAAGTGAAAAAGCATAAGCAACTCTGGACTAACCCCTTTTGAAATGACCCCATTCTCGGGCTGTGTCTGGAACCGATACGCCGTCTCGCTGCATTCGCATCCCGACCATTACGCATAGCACGTTGCCAAGTCGTCTCGTGCTCGTTTGTCCCTCACGCGAGCATAGAAAGTTCTGCGTCATAACCTCCACGTTACATTGATACGCCATAACTGATTTCTCAGCTCTGCCACCCACGTACTCAACCAGCCACTGTTGTTTCCATATTCATTAACTTGTGCACTCCCTCCCTCCCAACCGTACTCAATCGAACAAACACACACACACTCACTATATATATATATATATGACTCACCCAACCTGTTTCAACCAGCCAATCAGGCTCGCATGAGCTCGCCGCTGGTGCGAGCACAGCAAAGCGCGCACTACAAAATGAAAGCTGGAAAAAGCTGACGAGCGAAAGGTGGAAGCTCTTAATCCCAGAAGACATCCATACGACGGAGCCCCTCCGAGACGTCGTGGGGAACCCTTGGGGCTTCCATGTGTTCGGGAGGAGTCCTCCGAGTGCTCTCTGGGGGCGCTCAAGAGGGGTCCCCAGACCATTCGAAGCATGTACATGAATGATGAATGCACCATCGCACGTTGAAATGAAAATGCTACGCCCCCGTCTGCGGGGAAAAATGTTCCACCACGAGGCACGAGGCCTACCTATCCCCAGCGACCCAACGCTGAAGACTCTCCCGCGTGAGCGCGGATGGCCTAGGAGCCACCAACTATGCACCTGCACTGATCTTGGCCAGGCCAGCCCTGGGTCCAGGACCAGTGCATACGACCTCCTGGCTTGGCCAGGAAGGCATATGCACCGTCCTGGACCCAGGAGTGGCCTGGCCAAGATCGGTGCGGGTGAGGGCGCCCCCTGATGGCCAGCAGAGCCCGGGTAAGGCCAGCAAGCCCCCGTGGGGCCCGGCAGCTGAGCCTGCAGACTGCCAGAGCGCGGCGGCCGTCACCCTCTGCAGGGGAGGCTTGGCCACGAGCAGGGCCCCCCTAAGAAAGGAGCTGATGATCAAGAAGAGAACGATCACGATCAACGCTATGATCGAAGCACGGCTCGCGATGTCACCACACTGAGGTATGCGGCGGCTGGTCGCCCCGAGCGCCGGCGTAAAGCAACACGCAACGCGCGGCGCAAAGCCCACCCCCCTCCTCGTAGAAGATGTGGTAGTTGCGCTCGCCCTCCTGCTGGTCGCAGATGCGCACCCTGGCCCCCAGGCCCCTCCGGGAGAGTCCTAGGCAGCCGGCGTCCTGGGAAGAAGCCGAGGCGGCCGCCATTTTGTTCGCCGCTTTGAGGCTTTGGGACGCTGCTCCGCGCAAGAACGACCTGGGCCTAAGGGTGCGCAGGTGTTCGAGGGGCCCGCGCCACCCCAGGGGCAGCCCCTACGGGCGCCCTCGGAGACCCTGGAGGGGGACCCTGGACGCCTCCGCCAGCCCAGCTCCGGAGGCCACCCTGGCGAAGGCAGGTGGCGACATCCCAACCCTAACCCCGCCAACCGTCGATTCTCCTGAATCGATGGGAGGCGGGGGTGGGGCCCAGATTTCGCCGCGTGTTCCACGAATTCCGAGCCCTTCCCCCGCCGCCGATCCATTTGCCTGAATCCTTGATCGGCGAGGGTGTGGCTCGGATGTCGCCGCCGAGAAGGGGCACCCCTGCGCATCGCCGCCGGACGCCGGTCTCGGGCCCCGGGACCAGGACCAACGACTCGGGATGCTGGAGGCGGCCGAGGGGTCTGAGCTGGACGGGCCCCGAGGAAATCGGTCAAGAGGGGAGACGAGGACAAGTCCAGACCCCTCCCAGGGTCCGAACGCACCAATTTTTCGAGCCGCGTCCAGCCGTGGTGACGAGAAGCCCCCCAGACGCCCAGACAGGGCGAAAGAGGCCCCTGCCCCCCCCGCTGCTGGCCGGAGCCACTGCTGGGCCACCCCAGCCTGGGCAAGCTCGTTCCACTACTCGCACAAGTACCGACTCGCCAATGGCCTGGAGCAGCCACGGGGACTTTACGATCCACTACTTCGAGGCACACATGGGTTTCGCGCACGTTTGCGAGTAGGTATTCTGCGAGAAGTGGAATGCGCTCGGTGACCCCCAGCCAACTCCAATCGGGATGGCGAGCCAGCCCCGAGGAAGGGGTCGAGACGTCTGGGGGCCCAAGCCTCGCAGGCATCGCTCCACCAGATGCCTGGGGCCTGCCGCTGGCCTGTTAGAGGCCCTTGCCCTGCTCCCTCCTGCGGCCTTAGAAGAACTTGCCTTCCTCCTCCTCCACCTCCTCTACGTCTTGTTCGTACTAGTAGTATGGCTTATGCGTCGTAGTAGTAGTAATACGTTTATTATTGTTGCTTGGTTCTTATTAGTAGTACAGGTGTTCGTCTTCCATTTGTTCATGTCAGAAGTGTTAGTAATAGTAATGTGATTACCATGACTAGTGTAAATATTCCTCGTATTACCACAATTACAAATATTAGTAGCATGAATATGAGTATACGTACTGTTATGAATAGTGCTGGTATTATTAGTAATGTTGTAGCAGTAGTAGTAGTAGTAGTAGCAGCAGTAGAAGTAGTAATAGTAGTAAAACCAATACTAATAATAATAATCATAATAATAATAAAAACAATAATAGTAGTAGTAGTAGTAGTAGTAGTAGTAGTAGTGGTAGTAGTAGAAGTAGGAGTAGGAGTAGTAGTAGTAGTAGTAGTAGTAGTAGTAGTAGTAGTAGTAGTAGTAGTAGTAGTAGTAGTAGTAGAAGTAGCAGTAGTAGTAGTAGTAGTAGTAGTAGTAGTAGTAGTAGTAGTAGTAGTATAGTAGTAGTAGTAGTAGTAGTAGTAGTAGTAGTAGTAGTAGTAGTAGTAGTGGTAGTAGCAGTAGTAGTAGTAGTAGTCGTAGTAGCAGTGGTAGTAGTAGTAGTCGTAGTAGTCGTAGTAGCATCAGTAGTAGTAGTCGTCGTCATAGTAGTCATAGTATTCGTAGTAGTAGTAGTAGTAGTAGTCGTCGTCGTCGTCGTCGTCGTCGTCGCAGTAGTAGTAGTAGTAGTGGTAGTAGTAGTAGTGGTAGTAGTAGTAGTAGTAGTAGTGGTAGTATTATTAGTCGTCGCAGTCGTCGTCGTCGTCGTCGTAGTAGTAGTAGTAGTAGTAGTAGTAGTAGTAGTAGTAGTGGTAGTAGTAGTAGTAGTAGTAGTGGTAGTAGTAGTAGTAGTAGTAGTGGTAGTAGTGGTAGTAGTGGTAGTAGTAGTGGTAACAGTAACAGTAACAGTAACAGTAACAGTAACAGTAACAGTAACAGTAACAGTAACAGTAACAGTAACAGTAACAGTAGTAGCTGTAGCAGTAGTAGTAGCAGTAGTAGCAGTAGAAATCTTAGTATTGGCATTATCAGTCTTACTTTTCGTTGTAATATTATTCATATTAGTATATGTTTATTTCTCCTCCTCCTCCTCCTCCTCCTCCTCCTCTTCCTCTTCCTCTTCCTCCTCCTCCTCCTCCTCCTTCTCCTCTTCCTGCTCGCTCCAAGCACGGCCTCGGCGGGAGAGCCCCTCGCCCCGTCCACAGCCTCCACAGGCCAAGAGACGGCCAAGTCTGCCAGAGGGGCGAGCCTCTTGGCGGGGCGGGGCCGCCAGGGGCGCGGGCGGCGAGGGCTTCGCCGCGGGGGTCCTTGATCGGCCACGTGCAAGAATGACCCCAGGCAAGAGTAACGTTTGGTGCGCAGCTTTGGGGGGCCGCGGGGGGGCCGAATCCTAGGGTGCATGCCACTGTTGGGGGCACGCCTGTGGGCCCACACCAAAGGTCACTCCGGCGAGGGGTCACTCTTACGCTTAGCCGACCTGAAATCACACTTTCTTTACGTCCGGCGTTTTCGCATCGGGTTCCGTGACCCTCGCGGAGCGGTCTGGCTCGAGAATTGCGGCAGGAAGGTAGGGTCGAGGGCTTTGGTCGTGCGGTTCCCCGCGATATTTGAAACTCTTCTTGACGTCGGATCCAGGGGGGGACGCCGAAGCGGAATCTGGGCTGTTGCCAGGAGCGTCTCTCTCGTGGCCTGCAGGACAGGGACTCACCTTGGGTATGCCCAACGCTCGGCAAGTGAGAGAGAGAGAGAGATGGAGTGGCAGAACAAATTAGCGTCGTCCAATGTGCGCGATGGACCGTGACACGTCCGACTGCGACTTGCCTCCCTTTGCTGGGGGTGCCTGAAATGCTAGCCATTTGCTTGGCACCACACCCACCGCTCGCAGCGCTATGACAGGGAGAAAGAGGAGAGTAGTACGTAATCACAGCTGGGTCTTGCACAGTGAGAAGGAGAGGCAGGGGGAGAGAGGAACAAAAAGCGGGAACACAATTCAAGGAATGAGAAGGAGAAGGGAAACGAAGAAGGGCAGGCAGAGGCAATCGTGTCGTTATCTGTGTCGCTCTCGCTGCCGTCGCTGCCGCCACCATTTCGCAGGGAGGCCTGCCCCACAGCGATGACGGCCCCACGAGGAGCTCCCCGTTCGTCCGAGGTGTTCCCGTCGTCGCCGCCAGCGCCGTCGCCGTCTGCGCAATCGTCGTCGCCGAGGCGCAGGCGAAGAACAAGGGGCACCTAGGCCACCAAGCTTCGCGCTCCGCGCAACGCGATGCGCGAGGCGCGGTCACCCTCGCGACCTCGCGCCGCACCGTGGAGAAGGTACTGTTGCGGCTGTTCCCCAAGCAGTGTCTGCACTCTGGGGTCTCGTAACTCTCTTATGAGGACCTGGGCCTGACGGTCGGTCTGGTGGCTATGTGGCCGCCGTCGCAGGCCCGTCGCCGCCTCGTCGCCGCCTCTCGTCTGGGCCTGCCTGTCGGTGTGGCGGGTTCTCGGCGGCGCCGCGCCCTCGCCACCGTCGCCAGTCAGATTGCACCACATCGATTGCTTTGCAAAGCGTCGCATTGCTTTGCATTGCGTTGCGCTGCATTGCATTGCTTAGTATTGCGTTGCATTGTTCTGTCTTGTGTTGAACTGCTGCGCATTGCATAGCTTGCGCCACCGATACTGTACCACAAAGGCTGCTCGACATGGATGGCACCACAGAGATTACACCACATATATTGCACATTAAAGATCGCACGACACATATTGCACTACATCGTTTGCACCGCACAGATTGCACCATGTAGATTGCACCAAAATAGATTGCACCATCTAGGCTGCACCACGCAAATTGCACAACCTAGATGGAGACATATTGATTGCACAGCAAAGATTGCACCACCAAAAATTACACCATCTATACTGCGCAACATATACTGCACAACATAGACTGCATAACATAGATTTGCACTGCGCAAATTGCAATATAGATGACATTACATAGGTTCAAAAACATAGATTGCGCAACATGCATTGCACACCATAGGTTACGCGTTATACATAGCACCACATAGATTGTCCACCAGATATTGCACCACATCGGTTGCACCAGTTGGATTGCACCACATAGATCGCACCACATACATTGCACCGCATAGATTGCACGCATGGCTTGTACGCACAGGATACACCGTTTAGATTACACCGCGCCGACTGCGCAACATAGATTGCACCGCATATGTATATATATACATAGCGCCACATAGATGGCACCACAGAGGTACATAGGTCGCAACACATAGATCGCATCACCTAGGCTGCGCCACAAACATTGCACGCATAGATTGCAACACATAGATTGCACCACAAACTTTGAACGACATAGACTGGTGAACATGCATTACACAACATATTGCGCTAGGAACTCAGTGCTTGGGGCCCGCGCAGGCCAACACTTGTTTGTTTACACACATCAGCATTTCATTGTGAATAGCGAGGTGTTTGTGCACACATGTATGCAAGTGTTTGCAAAGGAATGTACACACACGTACGTATACCCGCGTACCGAAGCAAGCCGGCATGTACGCATATACATATGTGTAGTATGTGTGACGTAAGTATGTACGTTTACAGCCATAGATATGTATATATATATATACACACACAAACATTTAAGTATGTTGATGTGCACCGATATTTCCTCGCGAACCCTTCCAGCTCAGCCTGCGAAGCGCGAGAAGCGTGGTGACCCTCGCGCCCCTGCGGGCGGCCTGCGGCGTCGGGGCGACGGGGGAAAGGCCGCGCGTCTCCCCCGAAGGGCTGCGGCTCTGCGCAGCATCCGTCCTCCGGAACGCCCACGCCCGCTCAAGAGCCCACTGCTCCTGCTGCGCCAGCCCGATCAAGCCCTCCCTCCTCCTCCCTCCTCCTCCCTCCTCCTCATCCTCCTCTTCCTCCTCCTCCTCCTTCTCCTCCTCCTCCTTCTCAAGCCCGATCAATAACCCGATCCGGAACGCTGCGCGAGCCATTCCATGAGAAGCCTAAAACGCCAGACGCCAAGGTGAAAGAGCCGTCGTCGTCGTCGCCGCCGTAAGGCGCTTCCTCGACCGAGTCACCAGGCGTGGGCAGGTTCGAGCCGCAGGTGCGCGCGCGAGCCTGATGCGTCAGACGAGGGGTGCACTCTGTACGCCCGAGCCCCAGGCAGGGCTCACGCGGGCGAGGACGGATGGGCCACTCAGTGAAACCCACGCGCGTGCTGGGCACGCGCCCGCTCACCAGCTCATCAATACACCCATCCATTAACCTGCTCCTATGTTTTGTTCTTCCCCCGCTCACTGCCTTCATGCATCCCTCCCGTCTCCTTTCTCCCGTCCACCCACCAACCCACTCATCGCGCTATCCACCCAACCCTCCTTACATTCCTCCATGCCCTCGCTCCTTGTCGTCACGCCCCTTTCCCATGTCCTTGGTATCCTTCTCTCGAAACATGTGTCTGTCCATGTCCTTCTCTTTCTCTCTCTCTCTCTCTCTCTCTCTCTCTCTCTCTCTCTCTCTCTCTCTCTCTCTCTCTATATATATATATATATGTATCGACTCTCTCTCTCTCTCTTTCTCTTTCTCTCTCTCTCTCTCTCTCTCCCTCTCTCTTTCTCTATACATAGATATAGCTGTACTAGTACAATCAGTACCTACATGCATAGAAAAAAACTGAGCCGACCGACCAGATCTTCGTCCCGCTGGGGGCCGCTGGTTCGCGAACGCGCTGGGCCAAGAGGGCTACAAGACGCCCAAGATGGTCCCAAGAAAATCCCAAAGGCCCCCTTTTCGCCCCAAGACGCCCCAAGAGGCCTCCCAAGGGAGCCCCAAGCAGCATCAACGACTTCTCGCCTTCCCGACGCTCCAAGACGGCCAAAGACGCCCCCCAGATCGTCTCAAGACGGCCCAAGAGGCACTCAAGAGGCCCCCACGACGGCCCAAGAGGGCCCCAAGACGGCCCAAGCGGCGCCCAAGACGACCCAAGGGGGCCCCAGAATGGCATCCGAGAGGCAAAATTATCCCGGCAAAGCAACCTAACAGCGATGTGCAGAAGCATATCTGGAAGCATTCCCCTGAAGATTCAGATGAGAATCCAGTTGTAGAATTCTGCTGTTCTCGCAGTCGCAGTCGCATTCGCGATGACAGTCGCAGTGGCAACAGTCGCAGTGGCAACGGCAGTCGCAGTCACAGCCTCAGCCTCAGCCTGCCTCAGCATCAGCCTGCCTCAGTCTCAGCAGCAGCCTGCCTCAGTCTCAGCCTCAGCCTGCCTCAGCCTCAGCCTCAGCCTCAGCCTGCTTCAGCCTCAGCTTCAATATGCCTTCAGCCTCGGCCTCAGCCTCAGCCTGCCTCAGCCTCAGCCTGCATCAGCCTCAGCCTCAGCCTCAGCCTGCCTCAGCCTCAGCCTGCTGCGCTCCCGCAGAGTCCTGCGGCCTCAGCCTGCCTCAGCCTCAGCCTGCATCAGCCTCAGCCTCAGCCTGCCTCAGCCTCAGCCTGCTGCGCTCCCGCATAGCCTCCTGCGGCCTCAGCCTGCCTCAGCCTCAGCCTGCATCAGCCTCAGCCTCAGCCTCAGCCTGCCTCAGCCTCAGCCTGCTGCGCTCCCGCATAGTCCTGCGGCCTCAGCCTGCCTCAGCCTCAGCCTGCATCAGCCTCATCCTCAGCCTGCCTCAGCCTCAGCCTGCTGCGCTCCCGCATAGTCTTGCGGCCTCAGCCTGCCTCAGCCTCAGCCTGCATCAGCCTCAGCCTCAGCCTCAGCCTGTCTCAGCCTCAGCCTGCTGCGCTCCCGCATAGTCCTGCGGCCTCAGCCTGCCTCAGCCTCAGCCTGCATCAGCCTCAGCCTCAGCCTGCCTCAGCCTCAGCCTGCTGCGCTCCCGCATACTCCTGCGGCCTCAGCCTGCCTCAGCCTCAGCCTGCATCAGCCTCAGCCTCAGCCTCAGCCTCAGCCTCAGCCTCAGCCTGCCTCAGCCTCAGCCTGCTGCGCTCCCGCATAGTCCTGCGGCCTCAGTCTCAGCCTCAGCCCTCAGCCTGCCTCAGCCTCAGCCTGCATCAGCATCAGCCTGCCTCAGCCTCAGCCTCAGCCTGCCTGCCTCAGCCTCAGCCTGCTCAGCCTCAGCCTCAGCCTGCCTCAGCCTCAGCCTCAGCCTCAGCCTCAGCCTGCCTCAGCCTCAGCCTCAGCCTCAGCCTCAGCCTCAGCCTGCAGCCTCAGCCTCAGCCTCAGCCTCAGCCTCAGCCTGCCTCAGCCTCAGCCCTCAGCCTCAGCCTCAGCCTCAGCCTGCCTCAGCCTCAGTTTGGTGCGCTCCCGCATAGTCCTGCGGCCTCAGTCTGCCTCAGCCTCAGCCTGCATCAGCCTCAGCCTCAGCCTCAGCCTGCCTCAGCATCAGCCTGCTGCGATTCTGAAGCAAAATGTGGCCGGGGCCTAGGCGAGAGCACGAGTCCAGCATAAAATATAAGGAAGTCTCAGGCGAGAGCGTGATTCTGAAGCAAAATGTGGCCGGGGCCTAGGCGAGAGCATCATTCCAGCATAAAATGCAAGGAAATCTCAAGCGAAACGCCCGCCCGCGGTTTTCCCCGGCACCCGCCCAGACCCCCCTGGGGAGTCAAGATGCTCTCTTTTGACACCATTAGAAACCTATCAGTCTTCGCTGTTAAGTAATACTACTACTACTACTACTACTACTACTACTACTACTACTACTACTACTACTACTACTACTACTACTACTACTACTACTACTACTACTACTACTACTACTACTACTACTACCTACTACTACTACTACTACTACTACTACTACACTACTACTACTACTACTACTACTACTACTACTACTACTACTACTACTACTACTACTACTACTACTACTACTACTACTACTACTACTACTCTACGAATAGAAGGGAGAAGGGAAAGGACGGAGAGGGAGGGCTCGGAGACCCTTGGAGGGGGGGATGTGCCCATCCGAGGGAACGGTGCACCCCCCCCTCCCCGTCGTCAACTCGAGGGAACCAGCCATGGAAACGACCCCCCTCCTATCCCCCTCCGCGACCTGAGTAGACCACCCAGGCCAGCGGAGGACGTCATAGGAGGCAAGGGTTCTGACGTCGATGAGAGAAGAAAAAGGAGAGCGAGTAGAAGGAGGAGGAGAGGCGTACGAGTACTACTACGACTACAACGGCGTGTTCTCCACAATGCGCCCCGGGAATGGAATTCTGGGAGGTGGAAGAGCAGGAAGTGGCGTGCAGTTGGCTCCGGGCATCCAAAATGTGCGCCAGGAGTGGCAGGAGTGGCATTCGGCGATGGCGTTCGGGGCAGTCGAAGAGCACGAAGTGGCCTACAGTTGGCTCCGGGCATTCAGAATGTGGCCCGGGAGTGGTGTTCTGGGAAGTCGAAGAGCACGAAGTGGCCTACGATTGGCTCTGGGCATTCAGAATGTGGCCCGGGCATGGCGTTCTGGGAAGTCGAAGAGCACGAAGTGGCCTACAGTTGGCTCCGGGCATTCAAAATGTGGCCCGGGAATGGTGTTCTGGGAACTCGAAGAGCACGAAGTGTGTGACTGTTGCGTCCGGTTATTCAAAATGTGGCCCGGGAATGGAGTTCTGGGAGGTCGAAGAGCACGAAGTGTGTGACTGTTGGCGAAAAACGAGCCCGGTTCGTCCGCCCGGCGTCCGCCCGGCAGCTCGCCGACATCCGCCCAGACCCCCCTGTGGAGTAAGCTGCTGCCCTCTTTTGATCCTACTAGAAACCTATCAGTCTACGCTGTTAGGTAAAAGGCCCAAACAGACACCAAAGCAGCCACCAAGAAGGGTCAAAATTGTTTCCGAAAAGCACCCTGCAAGCTATATATATATACACACATACATACATACATGCATGCATGCATGCATGCATGCATGCATGTATGAATGTATGTGTATATTCATATCTCTCTCTCTCTCGTTCTCTGTTTCTGTGTTTCTCTCTCTCTCTGTCTCTCTCTCTCTCTCTCTCTCTACATACGTACAAGTATATAAACACATATATATATATATATATATATATATATATATATAGATGCGTCTATATGTTTATCTCTCTCTGTGTATAAATATTTTTTTTTGAGCAACACACACCTCGTCCCACTCGGTGCAATATGCGACTACCGCCGAAGTGAAACATGCGGAGAAAGACTACTGTAAAAGCCAATTCCCGCGTCGCGCGAATGCCTCAATGAACTCGCGGCAGACAGTTAAACTCGCGCGTGCGTACTCCGTACCAGCACATCCTGGCGGAACTCGCACTGGTGCCCAACGCAAGTGTGGCGGAGGGCGAACGAGGAAGGCGGAGAAGACGCAAATCAAAAACCTGCAGAGAGCCTCAATGCCGAAGCAAAGGAGCCAGGACCACGAGCGGCCAGCGTAAAATGCAGCAGGCGGAATGTATAATGCGCAAGGCGGTACCTGTATGAGGATACACGCGATGTCACAAACTATAGTCGGAACTCGATGTAAATAATTGAGCGGGGCCACGCACCTGGAGGCACCAGAAGACGCGCGCCACAACATGCCGGAACACACACGCCACGGAGGAGGGGAAGGGGGAGACGGAGCAGGGAGGAGAAGGGCGGAAGAAGCACGCCAGCGACCTCGAGGCGGGCCGAACAGAGCCTACGGAACCTGAAGGGCGAAGCACCCGGCAGAGAGGCGAGTGCCTGCGCTCCAGGGCCGGGCGGTCCGCAAGCTGGCAGGCCATGCAACGGGGGAAATCACACACAGTGGACGCAGATGAACAGCAATGCAAGACTCACCCCAAATTACTAAAAACGAGCGGACAACAACATCGACCACAACGCACGCACAAGAGGGACGGAGGGATAGCACGATCCACTCCAGCGCTTGGGGCCTCCACAGCCGCCCAGAGACCAGATCATACCTACGGCGCTGATCAGAAGACGGCAGCTCGATTCGGGAGGCAAGGGACGAGGCGAGGACGGAGGACGGAGGAAGGAGGGGGGGGAGGGCGACAGCACGCTCAACTCGGGCGCTCGGGGCCTCCACAGCCGCCCAAAGACCAGATCAGGCCTACAGCGCGGATCAGAAGACGGCAGCACGACACGGAGGGGGAGGGACGAGGCGAGGAGGGACGGAGGGGGGACGGAGGAAGGGGGGGGAGGGCGACTGCACGCTCAACTCGAGCGCCCGGGGCCTCGACAGCCGCTCACGATGAGCGCATTGGCCTCCAAGCCTCCGGCCGGCCGAAATGGGACGCGCTGATCGCGCTGGCCTCCTTGCGCGCTCAGCTCGAGCGCCCGGAGGGCTGGTTGAAATTGGAAGCCGATGCCTCAACGCCACCCCCGTGGGGGGCCACAAGCCCGAGGAACGCGAGGGACAGCCCCACGACGACGACGACGCCGACGACGACAACGACGACGACGACGACGACGACGACGACGACGACGACGACAACGACGACGACCACCGACGACGACGACGACGGGGGAGGAGGACGAGGGGGAGGAGAAGGAGGGGGAGGAGGAGGAGGCGGAGAAGGAGGAGGAGGACAGGGGCAGCAAGAGGGGAAGGGGGCAGGAAGAGGGGAAGGGGGAGGGAAAGGGCGGTCCCCTGCCCCCCCAAGGCGTGGGGCCCCCAGGGGGGGAGCTTGCGGCTGGCGCCAGCTGGCGGCCAGCCAGGGGGGAGCTGCGAATTCTCGTCGAGCGCCGTGGGCCCTCCGCGGCCGGAAATCATCCAGCAGGCTTGGGCCAGCGCGCAAGCGCCGTACCGAGAAAAGAAAAAAAGAAAAAACAAAAAAAAAGGGGGCAGAAGAGAGGAGACGCGGGGAGGGGGGCATCTAGGCGTCATGCCCAGATTCTGGCAAAGCACCGCTCAGAAGTTCTGTGTCCTGTTGCCGCCTCCCGTAGGGCCTGTTGCAGCGCCCTCCCAGCCGCAGCTGCGGTCAACGTCCCAGTAGATCGAGTCGCATTGGTCGCGCGGTAGGCCGCGTAGGCGCCCAGCGCCCCCTTGGCGAGCAGATCGTCGTCCTGCCGGCCGGCGTGGACTCCCAACCAATATGGCAGCAGCGACTCCGAATATATGCGGAGCGATGTCGCATGGAAGCGGCGCATGACTCTGCATCTCGAATAATGCTCAATGCTATCTTCTGCGCCGCCGCCACAGCCCAGCCGACAAACGTTGCCTGCGTCGTCCCGTTGCTGAAATCTCCTGAAAGTGCACCACCGATTCCAGGCAGTACTGAACACAGCCGCCACCACCCTGGGCGGCACCAGTCGCCGCAGCCGCCCCAAGCTGGTCTGGAATGCATCTGCGAGCTGACGCGGGACCCCCAGCAACTGCCATCTGCTCAGCTTGTGCCGGATACGGAAATGCGGGTTCTGCGCCTCCGCCTGGCTGATCCGTTCCCGTGCGACAGCTTGAAACCGGCGGCTCGCTCGGCCTGCCGCTTCTTCCACGGCGTCCGCAGTCACGCCCATGGCGGCGAGGTGGTCGAGTGACTTTGTCAGCACTGCAGGGATGGCCGCCTTTAGCCAGGCCGACCATTGCGCCCTCCTCTGGTCGTACTCTGAGTCGAGCACTGCCTCAAGGAGTTCTCGGGCGCGCTGACGTAGCAGCAAACCGCCGTGCTCCGCGTTCTCCCGGTGCGCGACCCGGAGGTGCGACGCACGTGCGACATCCTCCAGGCGGCCAAACGAGTGCGGCATACCGTAGTGGACCCCAATGTGCCAGAGGTCGTTCGGAGTGGCCCAATTTCCAAGTCCCGGCGCCGCACGTCTCAGCGCCCATTCCTCCAAGTCGAGCACCTTCCCGTCGGGGGCCGCGATCTGCGCCGTGAACGCCAGCACTGGGAGCGCGTAGACGTTATACGCAAGTATCGCAAAGTGCAGGCCCATCTCGCTCCACGACCACCCTGCAACTCGTTCCTGGAATCGCTGGCACGCGGTGTCCCAAATGCTGCTCGTCTTCTCTGGCCCTATGACGCAGCCCAGATACGTCGCTGAACGACGGAGCGGCAGCTGTCTCCAAGCGGGGCAAGCGGCTGCTACGCGCGCAGAGGCGTCGCTCAGTGGCTCTTCCCAGAGCGGGATGCCCACGGTCTTCGGGAGGTTAACTTCCATGCCAGAGAGCAAACCAAACTCATGAAGGGCTTGTTGGAGGATTGGGAACTGTCTCGGAGCATCCTGGAGCACGATCCCGATGTCGTCGGCAAAAGCTCGGACGACGACGCCCTCGATCCTCAGGGGCAGAATGCGGAGCAGCAGGTCCATGACAGTGGCGAAGATCAGAGGAGACAGCGGGCAGCCTTGCCGGATGCCCGACTGCATGTCGAAGCCCGGCCACCGCCCACCGCCGACCGAGATCGAGCAACGTCCGCCGTTGTAAAACGCATCCAGCACCCTGAGGGCTTCGCTCGGCATGCCGAGGCCGTCCAAGCACAGTCGCATGAATCGATGCGACACGCTTGGAAATGCGGCTTTGAAATCCACGAGGACAATCATGCCCTGGGCCTCTCGCATGGCAGTCAGCATGGCTGCGTTTTCAAGTTCCACGACGTTTGCCAGCATTGATCGGCCCGGAAGGAAGCCCCTCTGGCCAGGCGATACCCAAGATCCGAGTGTGCACTCCCACCGGTGCTTGTACGACCCTGCCATGATTCTGTTCGACACATCGACGAGCGAGAGAGGCCTTGTGCCATCCGCAGTGCGCACTGCACCGAGATCCGGGTCGTGCTCGCTCGCCTTCTTCGGAATGCAGCAGAGGATGCCCAAGTTGAAGCCGTGGCTCCCCGAGCTCCCGTCTTCGTCCACATATGCGGCCTGAATGTCTCCTGGGGCCGATGGCGCAGCTAGGGCCTGAGCGGCTTCGAAGAGGACCGTCACAGCCATCTCGCCCAGCCGCTTCCAGAGAGACGCTGCGATGCCGTCGGGGCCTGGAGCGCTGTCGCGCGAGCTGGCCAGTGCGATCCGGACATCTCGTCGACGGATTCGCCACAGTTGGGCGTTCGCTGGCATTTGCGTCACCGCCCCCGCCGCTGCGCCTTCCTGCAGCCACTCTGCGAGTCGCGTCTCGTCGACGTCCCGGGCCGTGAACACGCCGCCCCAGTGTCGCGCGAGTTCTGCCGCGATCTCCGGCGGGGCCGTGGTAATGCCTCCTGCAGCTGTCCGGACAGCCGAAGGCGGTTGGATACCCCAGGCTTCAAGCGACGAATTTTACTTGCGATCGATTCTTTCCGCGCCGCCGCATCTTCATCCGACAGCCAAGCTGCAGAGCCCAACTCGTGGAGATCGTGCCGAACATCTTCCCGCGCCAGCCGGCCAACAAGGTCTCGGAGAGTTTCCCGCGCCTCGGCGCTCCCGGAAAAAGCGCCGTCCAGATCGACAGTGGCACGGAGAAGCGGCAACTCTTCAGCGGCCCGCTGGAGTGCAAGAGGCCTGCCTTCCTCCACCGCTGTCAGACAGCGAATGGCGCAACCTAGGCGGTCAGCGGGGGTGGTCGCCTCCTGCGGGGCTTCGATGGCGTTGAGCTCAAAGCTGATGGCCGCCATCGCCATTTTCAGCAGCAGCAGTCTCCTGTGCGCGTTGTCCGGGTAGGCGTCGGCGCCCCGAAGCTCCTCCCAGCGTAGAGCAACAAGGTGTGCCCAATCATCTCTCCTGGATGGCCCAGTCGGCACCCTCCGCGGGCCTGAGGGAGATCGTACAGGCGACTGCCGCGATATCTCAATCGGTCTGTGAGCGGAGAGGCGACGAACCCAGTCGAGCGCAACGCATGCCCATGTGTGGCAGAATTGATCTGCTACATGTGCATTCGCGTATGCCCGGTCCAATCTGGATCGTGATCGTGCGTTGTCATGTGTGAAGTCAGGCTGACAAACCTCGTGCATGCCGTGCGGCCGGAGCAGGGCATCTTCCAACTGCTCGTGCTCCCCGACGTCCGAGCCCTCCGACCACGTACCCCTGCTGAGGTTGACGCGGTCTTTCGGCTGTCTGACAAAGTTCCAATCGCCGATTAGCACTGTAAGCGCCTGGCCCGCAGGTCCCGGATCGCCGCTCGCTCTGTAGCCGCCTGTCCGGTAGGCATGTAAACTACCATGAGATCCACAGCGCCCTTCGGGCCGTCCAGACGGAGCACAGCAGCGCGGCCTGGTACCACCTCCACCCAGTCGGGTTCCACGAACTGCTCCAAGAACGTCTTCTGCACCATGATGCCGATCCCGCCCACGGAGGCCGTGAAAGGCGACCACCACGCCCGGATCCCTGGAGGCAGACTCAATGTAGAAGTCGTGCCAGGCATGCCATGAGTTTCCTGGATGGCTACAAAGTCGGACCCTCGCAACAAACGTAAACAGTGGGCTTTCTTCAACCTGTGACGCTGCACGTCACGAGCAAAGAGTGCTTGTGCGTTCCAACTCCTGCCAATAAAGTTGCCAGAGAACGGGGATCCGCCGGGCCCGATGTCTGGTGAGCACGGCGCCGCTGGGCCGGGACTGCCGGGCTGCGTCGGGCCGCGTCGACGGGGAGCCATGAGGTCGTCGGGGGGTCGTCTGGGGCTCGTAGGGGGGTCATCTTGGGATCGTCGGGCGGTCGTCGATGGGTCGACGGGGGGTCGGGAAGTAGATGCGGGGGCGGAGTCTGGCTGCGTCAGGCTGCGTCGGGCTGCGTCGGGCCGTGTCGGGCCGCGTCGGGCCGTGTCGGGCCGCGTCGTCGGGGAGTCATGGGGTCGACGTGGGGTCGTCTGGGGCTCGTGGGGGGGCCATCGTGTGGCCGTCGGGAGGTCGTGGAAGGGTCGACGGAGGGTCGGGAAGTAGATGCGGGGGTGGCGGCGTCGGGCTGCGTCGGGCTGCGTCGGGCCGTGTCGGGCCGCTCCCATCTGACAGAGTGCGGGTTGTAGAGGAAAGGGTTGAAGGCAGCCACGGAGAACAGGGGCTCGAAGAGGCAGCACCAGCCGCCCCGCGAGAGGAAGGCGCAGCCGTACCTGGGAGTGAAGTCGAAGATCGTGGAGGCAGCGCCGAAGTAGAGGGTGAAGAAGGCGCTGATGATGATGAAGTTGGCGTGCAAATTGACATGTCGATGTGTGGTGAACGCTCGTGAAGAAAAGAAGATGAATTCAAGTCATGCTCTGGGGCCGCCGCCGGGTCCTGCCACACAAGCAAGAATTCTTCCCGCTGGCGCTTCTTGGGGCGGCCCTCCATCCGGCGGCGCTTCTGAGGGCCTGTACTCCCAGCGCTACCCATACGACTGGCGCCGAAGCGCCGCCGCTGCAGTGGTATCGCTGTGCACCTGGATCGGGATCTGCACGCCGTTGACCTGCACTATCTCGCCGTGGACGTGCCTCCAGAGAGCCTCGACCGCATCCGCTCCTCTCTCTGTGTATCAATATAAACACAAATAAAAAGTGCATATATATATATATATACATACATACATACATACATACATATCCAAGTATATGTAAATTGAGTATACATAGAATGTAGTTTATATTTATATGATATGCAGAAGGATCCATTTGTTACACACACACACACACACACTTTCTCTCTCTCTCTCTCTCGCTCTCTCCCGATCTGACCTCGGCACACGATTGGCCTCCATTTCTGTGCCCCTGACCCTCCTCCTCTTCCTGTTCCTCCTCCCTCTCCTTTTCCTCTTCCACCCTACACCTCCTTCTCTTCTTCTTCCCTTTCCCCCAGGCCCAAAACCTGCGCTATGCTTCCTAGTCGGTTGATCCAACGCAGCGCGTGCTAAAGCGGCGATCGCCTTGATTAACGACCGCCGAGCGTTAGTTGGAGGGTGGTCTGAACGTGGTTCACGCGTGCAACAAAAAAACGGTGGCAGAAGCGGGCGCAATGGCCCAACACACACACACACACACACACACGCACACACACACACGCACACGCATACATATACATATATATATATATATATTATACATATATATGCATACATACATACATGTCTCATCCGCCGGCGAAGCTTGCAAGAGCTGCATGCAGGCTCCTCGGACAAGGTTACGGCCCGTGCAGGGCTGCATAAATTTCACCCAGAACACATGTTTCCTCCTCGGACAAGGTGACGGCACCATCACGAGTGCAAGACCTGAGCACGTCATAATCCCCCAGGCGTTGTAGGTGGTGAACTGCTCAATCGAGTCGGCGTGCAAGGAAACTACTCAGCACACACACACACACACAAACACTGCTCGGGGCGTCGCAGCCGCGCGCGCAGAGGCACAGCGTAGTCATGAAGGCCGGGAGCAGACACACACACACACACACACACACTTCATCCAGCGGCAAGATGACGACACCGTCGCGATGCGCTGAGCCGGGTCACCCTCAGGCGAACTATCACCTGGAGTAGCAGAGTGGTGCATTGGATGGGAGCGGTCAGATGCAAAACAGCGAAAACAACAACAACAACAACAACAACAACAACAACAACAACAACAACAACAACCACCACCACGACCACCACCACCACCACCACCACCACCACAACAACAACAACAACAACAACCACAACCACAACCACAACAACAACAACAACAGCAACAACAACAACAACAACTACAACAACAACAACAACAAAAACGGACGGGCGGACGCACGCGGAAAAGGCAGAATCGTTCACGCAATGGGGAGACCATCGTCCCCGACTGACCAGAACGGGGTAAAGAAGAAGACGGCTGATCCCGTTCGAGCAGTCGCACGAGGAAGGTGTACGCATCCGACGGTGCGCAGCCGTCAGTGCGGCCAGACGTGCGGCGGTTGCGGAAGCTGTGTCCACCCGCAGCTGCACCCGCTCACGAGCGCCGTAAACAGTAGCCGGCACTGAAGCCTGGCATGCGCCGCAAAAACAGTTGTCCCAGACAGACGGGGACGACGTGGGGAGGAAGCGACAGATCTCGCGCGAGAATGCGCACAGAAAACGTCGTGGCGCAGCCCGACTGCGAAAGAGCCTGCAGCCGAGGAGCAGCCCAGGGCGACGGCGCCAGAGGCAAATCCACTGTGTCTGCCAGGGGTGTGGTGGCGATGGAGGCTGTACCCTCCCGCAGCGGCAACCCAACCCAAACGATAGCCGGCGCTGAAGCCAAGCAAGTCACACCCGAGCACGCCAAAAACCATGGGAGTGAGGCAGCCGAGGCAGCGGAGAAAAGCCTGTGCCAGCGACGACGCCAGCCTAGCGCACGACAGCAACGGGCAAGGGGCGTCGGCGCCCGTGCCCGAGGGGTTGGCAACGACAGCTCGGCGTGTGCACCCGAGTCGGGAAAGCTAAACGCTCACACAAACACACACACACAAACATACGTACACTGTCCGGTCGCGCGCAGCTGGGGCGGAAGCTGCTCAAGCGTTCCAAGAAAGTCGAGTTCTGACTGAGCGAGGCTACCAAGGGGCAACTCTTGAGAGCGGTCAGGGGAGGAAGGAGGAACCGCCAGCCCATCACGGGGCAGCGGCATGGGGAGCCCTCACGGGCACGCGCGCGCACACACTTTCTGGCGGTCGCGGCCTCACGCGCATCGATGAGGTGGAGAAAGGAAACAGTGCGGTCCGTCGGCCGGAACCTCTGGCGGAGGGGCAAATGACACACACACATACACACACACACACACACACACACGCATACACACACAAGCACATACACATGTACACACAACACATACACACACACACTTGTTGGCGGTCCCGGCCTAGCGACGAGGCGGAGTAAGGCTGCAGGAAGAACACACACACACACACATACTCAACCACATCCACACACACACACACACACTGCTCCTCTGCGCGGAGTTGTCCACGACACTATACTCCTGCTATGTCCACTCACGTGCCACTTCCACCATCTCATAATAACCCGCTCCAGTCCCTTGCTGCAACTGAGATGATCCCCTCCCCACTTCTCGAGCAGGTAGGTCTGAATCCGCGCCCCGCAAAGTCTTTTGTCTATTCCAGGAGCTATGTCCGTGTTGACTACATCTTTGCCTGGGGATTGGAACTGCATCTCGATGAACTTGCCGAAGCGGCTCGAGTTGTCGTTCCTGGTTTCGAGCTGTCACCGCGCCGCAACATCGCTGCAGACACTCTCATGGAGCAAGCATGCATGCTGTTTCTTGTTCATGGGGGCAGGCAAACATGGCATCATCAGACTACTCTACCACATGATTGCGAAACGTGTTCAGCATGATAATGAAATCAGACAATCGTTGCCATTGCGCTTGCGGATAGCATGGAAAGCGGTCGTGATTCATGGATGAGTGCTTGGCAGATGAGTGCTGGACAGACGCAGTGTGATTGCCAAAGACTCCCCTGGCGCGTGCCGCAACATGAATAGACACAAAAAAGGCATGAACATCACTTCTCTGAGGTCGCCGCGGACCTCCTAAACCTGCGCTGGACCCCTCCCTGGCGCGTGGAGCGCGCCAGGGGCGGCGCCAGAGGAGCCGCCAGGGAGGCCCAACGCCGACCCAAGAAATCCGCGTGGACCTCCGAGAAAATATGTTCATGCCGCCGTTGAGGAGACCCATCACCGTGACGGGAGGGAGAGGTTTTGGGAGGATGAAGGATATGAGCAAAAGCATCCGGATGCAATGCTTGATGCCTTCGGCCGCCTACGGGCAATGACATCCTAACTTCTCCCCACCCCATCCTCACAACCCAGCCACTGTCTTCCTGAGCTGTTCTATTCCACGGACAGCCAAAGATCGATGATCCTCAAAACGTGTATTAGCGCCAACGTGTGTTTGTCCACCGAGGCCCTTCAAGACGACGTAGGCGGCGCAACGAGGGCCGACACAGGCTGCGCGCTATCGGCGGAACCGAGCGGGGCGAACACACGCTTCGGCTAACACACGTCCTACGGATCATCGAAAGGAGCGCCCGCGCCAGTGGCCATCGCTAGCTCGTCGCCCGGCGAACGCCCGCTCGACGCATGCGGAGCACGCTGCGCTAGGAGGGAAAAACGCTATGAACATAAACTGTTGGCGCTCCGCGCGCATTTTTGGGGGGGCTCCACGCTGGGCCCCCCTCCCTGGCGCGCGGAGCGCGCCAGGGGCGGCGTCCGAGGTCTTCTGTTTATGTCATTGTTCGTTCCCCGAGTTGTATCCCACGGACAGCCAAAGAGCGCCCGCGCCAGTGGCCATCGCTCGCTCGTCGC